GACACTATAAATTTACAAATATTTTTAATAAAATTCTTTTTATATTAAGTTAAAATATATATTTTAAATTATAAAATAATTTTTTTATTTATGTTATTAATACTTTAATAATTTTGCTATCGAATGTCTACTTTCAGACTAAATTCAAGATTTTCCACCTCGTGATATATTTTATTAAGAAGTTACATTACAAATTTAGATTAAATTGTATATTAAAATTTTAATTTAATTTATAAATTTATTTAAATATTTTTAATAAAATTATTTATCATGTTATATGTTATATGCAATTTCACAACAGTCGTAGGATTGCTAGGGTTCTCTGTAATGCTTGAACTTAAATCTGATTCTGCTTCAAAAGGAAGAAAATTTTCACAAACATGAGGATAGCAGTAGAAGGGTGTATGCATGGAGACCTCGACAAGGTCTACACGACCATTCAATACATTGAAAGCACTCAAAACATCAAAATCGACCTCCTCCTCTGCTGCGGTGACTTCCAGGTTCAGACCCTTCCGCAACTGTTCCAATTCAGATGGAAGTTATTGTTTTTCGAAGCAAAGTGAAGGGCTTTGAACTACCCAATTGCTATTCAAGCTTGGTTTTTAATGGATTGTTTGTTTTTGGGTTCAGGCAGTGAGGAATGAGAAGGATATGGAGAGCCTTAGCGTGCCACCAAAGTACCGGGAGATGAAGTCATTCTGGAAGTACTATTCTGGTCAAGAGGTTGCGCCGGTTCCGACTATATTTATCGGTGGAAATCACGAAGCTTCAAATTATTTGTGGGAATTGTTAGTAAATCTTAACCACTGTTCTTTTTGCCCTTTTTGTGTGTGTGCGTGCTATACTTGTGTTTTTGTAGTTTATGAAGCATATGTGCATTGGTTCTTCTACAATTGATTTCTCATTTATGTTTTGTTGGGTTTAAGCTTTTCAACATATCTGCATTGGATTTTCAATTTTTGGATTAGAAACACAAAGGACAGAATTTTATATGTAAATTGGGTTAATGATTTAAGCTGATACATTCCTGCCTGCATACTGTTTTTCCTGTTTATGAGACCTGTCTAGACTGGATTTCGTTATTTCAACCGTCATCGGAGCATCTTATATTTTTCTGTCCAAGAGTGTATTGCTGATTTGCGTCACTGGTTTATGATCCCTCTTTTTGCAGGTATTATGGTGGGTGGGCAGCACCTAATATATACTTCTTGGGGTTTGCTGGAATTGTCAAGTTTGGCAATATCCGTATTGGCGGACTTTCTGGAATCTACAATGCACGCCATTATCATTTAGGTTGGTTTGTTTTTTAGTGTTGATCTTGTTTCTTTCATAGTTCTGTTGGCACTTAACTGAGCATGTGACTGATGATAATATTCCTATTAGCAAATTGTATTTATTTTACATCGCTTATTGCACTGTCTACAGAGATATTATTTTGTTCCAGAAGCCAGCCAAATGTTCTTGCATCCAACTGATAAAACTATATCCATTATATGTTGTAATTACCCTTTGGAATTCAGGCTAATTACCGTTTCGTTGAGCAGGACACCATGAAAGGCCTCCTTATAATGACAGTACTATCAGGTCTGTGTATCATGTTCGTGAGTATGATGTTCACAAACTAATGCAAGTTGAAGAACCAATTGATATTTTTCTTTCTCATGATTGGCCTCTTGGTATCACTGACTATGGGAATTGGAAGGAACTTGTTCGGTACAAAAAACATTTCAAGGAAGAGGTAACTACAATCACTTAATGATAACAAACTAACCTTCATGAAAAGGAAAAAAGGAAATAGTGAAGCTTAGGAATTCTCCTTGAATATGCTTTTCCTGATATGCTTCCTTTGAGTACAAAGTTTTTGGCTTAAGGAAAAGTTGCAAGACCATTAACCATTGTGTTATTAAAATATTAACATCTCCAAGATTTCTTCTTCTTCTTCTTCTTCTTTTTGTTTTCATATTATGATCCAATAACAATAACAAGATACTCAGTTTGCTTGTTCACTTATCAACGATCATGGTTGATTTTTCTTAGATCCAGGAAGGAAGTCTTGGAAGTAAAGCTGCCGCTCAGCTTTTGGAGAAACTTAAACCACCTTATTGGTTTTCAGCTCACCTGCACTGCAAGTTTGCTGCTCTTGTGCAACATGAGGAAGGTGGCCCTGTCACAAAATTTCTTGCTCTTGACAAATGTCTCCCAGGACACAAATTTTTACAGGTTTCTGTAAAGTTTTATTTTTGTCTGCAAAGCCATGGATGATTGTGTGATCATTTCTGGAAGTTAATGTATCAATTTTTTCATTGATATTTCTAGGTTGTTGAAATTGAATCGGCACCAGGTCCTTATGAGATTCAATATGATGAAGAATGGCTGGCAATAACTCGAAAATACAATTCTGTCTTCCCTTTGACCATTAGAAGGGGAAATTTTAGGTTTATATCTAATGACATGTTCTTTTTTCATTTTTCTATTATGTCTCCATATTTTTGAGCCACATTCTTCCACAAGAAGTAACAGGTGACAACTCTCTATTTAAATAAACAGCAATACACTACTTGACAAGCAAGATTGTTGTGAATGGGTTAAAAGCAGACTACAAGCAAGAGGAGCCAAACCATTTGAGTTTTCACTGACAGTTCCCCCTTATAATCCCTCTCAGCCAGTTGCTATTGCCTCTGTTTCTGGTAAGCTATTATGTACCTTGGTAATAGAATGTAATTCTGTGAAGAAAATTTGGGTGTTTTGCGAGTTTTCAGTAGAGTACATTTGTTGCAAGTTTTCAGTAGAGGAATTTGGTTGGTGAATATCTTCATGTACTTGGTTTGTCAGTTGTCACTGCTTATCCTTCAGAACGGGGATGTGCAAGGAAAACCCCCTCTATCCCTCCCTGGCCTCTCATATGTAAAGTAAGAATAAGGCCAAGTAATTGTCGCCTTACATGTTTGATGATCATATAGATAAACTTCAATTTTGCTTGAAAATTACATCGATGGAGATCTCTAAGTTCATTAAAACTTCCTTGTTATTATGCTTGATAGCTTCTCATTTGCATTTATTTTTCTCTGTAGGACATCACCGAAATCCTCAAACAGAATCTTTGTTGCAATTTCTAGAACTCCCATATGTTCTTGATAACACAGCAGAATCAAGGGAGCTAACGAATAGTCCTGCTCCATTGACTCAATCAGGTAAATGAAATGCTGCTGATCTTTCCATCTAGAGTACATGTTTGATCCTTCTGTAACTTTTCTCTTCTCGTGTTTAATCTGGATGGGATGCTTCTGTAAACTTCTTAGCAATATCTTTGCTCCTACTCGTCATATGTTGATGCGTGATTTGTTAATCTTGTGTGTACTCAGTACTGTGTTTTGCATTTAGTTCAGTCCATTAATAAGCATTTCATTCTTGGAATTGATTTATGCTACTTCTGTATCTTCTTCAGATGATTACAGTGAAGAGATTCCCATTGAAGATGTTGACGATGAAGAAGATCCTGAACATGGGAACGAGTGAGAAAAAAAAGATCCTAAACATAGATCGAGTAAGACAATGTAAGCATGTGGGTGTGATGGTGTGATGCTACCTTCTATCATTGCCCTTTCTCCTTCAAAGTATCAGCCATACACTCCTGGATTGTACCTCAGACGCCAACCAAGTCGTGTATACCCATGTGGTCCACCATTCTCCTCACCTTGGAAGCTCACTCACCTTGTAAATTAGCAACTAACACAATGGATCACGATGCAAGGACTTTTTTGTTCAAGAATACTAATGATTTTAAGTTTATCAATTTGTTTTTCAGCATGAACTAATTAAATAAATGTTTGATTTATTAATGATATTTTAGTTCTTTCCAATCCAAACTGAAAGTGAATTTCACCGTCTTACACTCTAATCATGTTTTAACGTAAAAAATGGTTTGGGCTTAGTAATTCTTAGAATCCACCGGGGATTGTATTTTTGGGCCAAGGAATCTGGAACCCGCACACCACGTAGTTTAAGTCATGAAAATCAACGGCTGTCATTTCTCTGCAGAGATCCAACATAAAGCTTTGTGCTTTTGGCCTTTGCTCCCTTCCAGACACTAAGTCGGTCTTTTGGTCATATATTTCGCCAAAGGACTTTTCTTCATCTTCCTCAGCTCATTTCCAGTTTCTCTTGGATCCAATCAAGGAAAACAATCCTAACCCTCTTTCATTTTCCTTACCAAAGATCTAAATCCAAATTCAATCTTCAATCTTTCTCCTTATCTTTCTTTTTCTTTTTTCATGATTTTATTGAAACTCTAAGTCACTGTTCTTGATTGATTTTACCTTCATCATTAAGTCTTTGAGTTTTATACCAAATCGAAGCTCCTTTCAATCTCTTTCAACATGTGTGCAAGAAGTTCTTTGTATTCAAACCCAAAACCCTGCAAGCACTTGTCAGATTACAAGCTTAGATGTGTTTCCAATGGCTTCAAAGACCTGCAAAAGTTCATCAAAGCTGGTTCAAATGGCAGAGCGAGAGTTGATAAGGACAACACAGAGGTACCCAGATGCAGTTTTTGTAATGGGTATCGAGGTAGACTTTTTATGTGCTTGATTTGTTCTTCAGTATCTTGTTCAAGCCATGTGGGTTTGCATACCCAGTCTGAGAATGGCCATGATATAGCTGTAGACATTGAAAGGGCAGAGCTTTATTGTTGTTTGTGTGGCGATCAGGTTTATGATTCTGAATTTGATGGGATTGTTGTTTCTGGGCGAGTTAAGGACTTGCCTATGGATAAAAATGGTGGATTTGAAGGTGTTGAGGGGAGATCAATTAAGAGGAGAAAGCTGGATTCAAAGTTGGATCCGGGGATTAATGATGACTTGAAAAAGGCAAGACTGTTGATGTCCTCGAGAGATCAGAGGCAAAAATCGTGTTATCCATTGGGATTGAGGGGATTGAACAATCTTGGCAGCACCTGTTTCATGAATTCTGTGTTGCAAGCTTTGCTTCATGCACCCCCTTTTAGTAATTACTTCTTGAATGATCGGCATAATCATGATCAATGCCCAATTAAATCTGGGGGAAAGCCATGTTTGCTTTGTGAAATTGATACCATTTCTTCAGCTATGCTTTCCGGCGATCATACCCCTTATAGCCCAGCTCGGTTGCTTTACAGGTAAGGACTGTGTACTTAAGCATGATTTGGTAGTTATCAATCTTGATATCATGATTTTGGTAAATGGATTTGAATTAGGTAAAAGATGTGTTTATGCTTTGGTTTGCTTTTATGAGGGTGTAACCAAGATCTGTCATTTTACTTAAAGCTCCTTTATTGACAATAACGCCTGCCACATTTCTTTGGTCCTGTGATTGATCTTAAGCCTCTTAACTGAATTAACATCACATGATCAAACTCTATCCAGTGTCAATTTATGTGGCAACAGATCTTGTCATTCTTCCATTTTTAATTTGTTGCTATATGTTTAAAGATGGATAAACTGCTTTGCTGATGAAATTTTTGTTGTTTCTGAAGCTGGTGGCAGCATTCAACAAGTCTAGCTAGTTACGAAGAGAAGGATGCTCATGAGTTCTTCATTTCATTGTTAAATGGGATTCATGAGAATAGTGAGGAGGGCAGAGCCAGGGATGACAGTAAAGGTAATTAGATGATGCCATGTGGTGCTTGTCTGCTTGATAGTCTGTCTTATAAACTGCTGTATTGCTAAGTGGTGGTAGAGGTTCTGTTTCTTGTATCTTAGTGGCCAAATATAATGCCATGTTCCTGTGCCTAGATGAAGAATAAGAAATTTGGGAACGCAGAGGTGGTTTGGAATGTTGGCTTGTATATGGTATCTCGAAGTAAGTTAGGATACTTGCTTTTGTGACATGAAATTAGAGGGATATGTATGCTTCAGAAAATAAGTGGAACCAATTATCCTTATTGTTTTGTTCGATATTGCTTGTTTTAACTCAAGAATGTCAGAATGTGAGAAATTTACTTGGAACTATATGCCTATTTGGGAGGTTGATGAATATTCTACTCAAAATGAAATATTGATGCATTCTGGGATTCAAAGAAGTATAGATTTTGTCAAATTGCTTTAAGTGGTTCTATTTTACTTACAATATATGATTCTTCTTTTACACAGATAAGGGAGATTGCCAATGCATCGCTCATAGGGCATTCTCTGGGTTACTGAGATCAGATGTCATGTGTATCACCTGTGGCTTTACTTCAACAACTGATGAACCTTGTTTTGATATTTCTCTCAACATGCCAACAAGCAGCTTCTCGTTTAAAGGCATAGCAAACAAGGCTGTCAAACCAAATGAGCAGATTGGCTTATCTACTCTTTCAGGTTGCTTGGAGTTGTATACAAGGCCAGAGAGGTTAGGTTCTGACCAGAAATTTTGTTGCCAAAATTGCCAAGGGACGGGAAGCTCTTTGAAGCAAATGTCTATTAAAAGACTCCCCTTGGTGTTGTGTTTACATATCAAGAGAGTTGAACACTCTCCCTCCAGCAAAAGGTTTTTGAAAAATGATCAGTATTTGCAGTTCCCTTTCTCATTAGACATGACTGCATACCTTTCATCCTCAATTGTCAGAAAGAGGTTTGAAAATAGAATTTTTGCTTTTGAGTGTCACAACTCTGATAGTTCTGCAGCCTATGAGATTTTTGCTGTGGTTTCTCATTTTGGAAAGTTCGATAGTGGCCATTATGTGACCTATCTGCGCATAAAGAACCAGTGGTACAAATGTGATGATCCTTGGATCAGTGAAGTTGATGAGGAAACAGTAAGAGCTTCAAAGAGTTATATGCTGTTTTATGTGCAAAAAAGGCTGTTCAATATCCCGCGTGTTTCCCCGCGTAGAGACCCATTAGCATCTGGATCTAAGTAGTCTTTTCTCAGATGTACTCCAGGAAGGGTTGCCACAGTTCTTTCAGGTTTCATATTGAGATGCGGTGAGTGTCAAGCTGTTTCAGACTGACTGAATTCTGAGATGCAGCCAATACCAGATTCCTACTTCTTTGGATCCCAATCTATTTTTTATGGGGTTTTAACAATCATGCTTCTGAATCTTGAATATTTGTTGGCCAAAAAGAAGCAACTCAGTTTTTTCATCTTGGAAATTTGAAATGCTCAAGCTTCTTTGTATGACATTCTTTTGGCTGCAGCTCAGTCATGTACATACATAATACAATTTTTAACAAGCAATAGATGAGATGAGAACCCTATTGCAGTTATGATTTTCTGAAGATATGATGCCCCTTTTCTACCTTTCTACTCTTCCTTCATGCATCATTGAATTCTTATTTCTTAATCAAAATGAATATCCCATTCCTGATCACTTGTCTGTATGCACACCCTAATATATCTGTGTAACTGCACGGGAGTATAGATTTGCTCTCCATTTTTCTTCATACGTTAAAGGGTGTACTATATAATCAGAAACAATAATTGTCCCTTTTCTGAACCATCTTAAGGTTCGAACTTTAGACATGACCACTAGAACTGCTCACCGTTGTTTGTCGTTTCCAGACACCGGAATAGACTGTTACTCTTAGGATGCCTTTTTCAGATAGGATTGCTTACCTCCACAATCTCCCAAGATTTTTTTTGTTAAATAAAGTTTTAAATTTAAGTTTTATAAATAGATGGATAAATATTATAACATTTTTTTTTTTTTTTATGAAGTCTTAATCCGATTTAATATTAAATTAATTAAAGTTTAAAGTAACATTTCAAATAGATTAGACAAAAAAAGTTTGCTTAATTAGCTGTCTATGTAGTACGTGTCATCTAGCCCACTTGAAAGGGACCAATAGGAAGATGCGACGTGTGCAAACGGACCCTATTGCCCCGTACGCTGTTGCTAAATGCTGACTGTACAGGGAAAAAAAAAAAAAAAAGAGGCATCAACTTTGGTTGGTCACTCCATTCTTTTAGCAGTATATCTGTTAAAGAAACGCGCTAGTCAAATCTGGAATAGCAAGACATTTAGCTCCAGATATTTCTCGGACATGGATTTTACACAAAAGGGTTTAAGAAATTAGAAACAGAGGTTCTGAAAGTTGTTTCCTTGATGATTTTTGTCAATTTTGAGAAAAACTCGTTTTGGGAAACTCTGTTTTGATTGGAAACTTGGTTGCAGTCTTCTTTACCATATCAAATTTAGAAGGATCAAAAATTCCTGGAAAATGCAGTCAGTTTAATGGTGTTTGTTTTGATGGAATGTTTCTTGTTATAGACTGAGTTAACTTCGATCATTTCTAGATTCTATCTTGGAAAAGAGAGTTATGGTGGATGAGAGCATTGAAGTGCCTAATGAGGGTGTGGAGGAAGAGGATGAATCCAGAAGAGGAATCTTTGAACCAATCTGGGCTCCAGTTGATTGGATTAAGATGCTTGCCATGGAAATGCACTGGAGTTTTGTTTTTGGGGTGGTTGTTGTTTATGGGATAAGTCAGGGACTGGGAGGAGCTCTGACACAGGTTGGGACCGAGTATTATATGA